ATTCTGTTGCTCGCAGAATTTCTTGACGTCGGGAACGAAACAGTCGTCAAACCAGGAGAGGGACAGAGCAGAGAACATCCACGCCTTACGTGAGGTCAGCCAGTGGACATTAATCTTGCTCATGTCCAAGTTCTTGTAGGCGTGCGGCTTGCGGGCTGTGTGGATCACCGATAACTTGAGTTCACAGGTACCGGAGGCATTGGTGGTAAAGAGGACGGTGATGCGCTCCTTCTGCAACTTCCGGCCCCGAATCTTGCTGGCAGACTGGACAACGAAGGTCTTGGTAGGCAGCTTTTTCCAAAATAGACCGGATTCGTCCATGTTGAACACCTGGTCGTTGGTGTACTGCCCTCCCTCCATAACCTCACGTAAGAACGTAGGAAAATCTCTAGCCGCCACACGGTCAGCACTCGCTTCTTCACCACCAATGTTGATGTTGGTGATCTTGTTCCTCTTCTTAAACCTATGCAGCCAACCAGAGGAAGCATAGAAGGGTTTGGGCTCTGCAATTCCCATCTTACGTGACACTGCTGCGTACAGTTCATGGGCGTACTCTTGAACGGATCGCGTGCCCACCGCCATGTTGCGTCGCGCCTGACGAATCGAGTAACTCGCCAGCAAATTTTCAACCTTTAGCAGCACCTTGTTCTGGCAATACTTGATCATTGAAGCACCTGCAGACGTTGTGATTCTCATGTGTTCTTTGATCTTGGCTGCATTTTTTTTATCTTAATAGTACGAATCATAGATTCGTTGACTCTATGCTGGCGCGCAAGATCAGCTTGACGTGTTCCTTTCTCCAAATCTTGAATGATCTTGTATTTCACTTCGTATCTTAGGGAACGTCATATCTTCTTTGGCTTAGGGCGGCTGGGTCCAGGTAAGCCATTTTACAGAACAATGGATGCTGGTTTACACGGTGTGACCTGGAGGGATGAAACTGACGCGGCTAGGTCAAGCGTCGTCTTTCTTCCCTCCCGCGGGTGGACACGTCTTATTACTTTAAACCAATCACAGCTAGCAGCGGAGGGAGGTAAGGATGCATGGCCCAATCACACTCCGATACGTCATATGACGTCACTGATAACGCAACAGAGACATCCACTGCCCAACCTTACCGCGCGGCTTGCCCAAGCGGGAGAAGGCGGGAGGGTCGAATCTAAAAATAGCGTTTCACCAGACACTCTACGCGTATATGGGTAGATGCATCGCGTAAAGTGAAAGTCCGGTTCTGGCGAGGTACCGCGTAAATGTGGAATCGCGTAAAGTGAAGCTGCGTAAAGCGGGGTATTACTGTACAGTGAGTTCTGCTATAACGCGTGTTTTGATAACGCGAATTTGCTCTAATGCGATTTATGAATTAGCCATAATTTTCTAAAAACAATATATACAGTACCAATAAATGTGAGGAATAAATAAAAATAATACCAATAATTAAGTTACAACAAAAAATACTGTATTGCCAAACCAGTAAATAAAAGCCAAATGAAAGTTTAACACAGTCATCATTTGCATATACATCTGTACTCCCTGTTCACCATAGCAACTGCGACATTACCTCCACCGATTCCACAGCAATGCTCCCGTCCCCACCACCAACTGCCCAGCCATCGTTCCGCTCCCCCACTGAGCCAGCTAACTCGTATGCAAAGAAATGTATATTCCATTTATGTGTTTGTCCTTAAAACAATTATTTCTTTTACTTTTTTTCACAATACGGTATGTATGTAGGATGGTGTGTGCATGTATATCAGTAAAAATAAATGAAGAAAGTTATATATCTACCCAAAAATATGAGTTGAAAAACAACAGCTTGGCCCAGTAGCCTGGTGGTTACAGAGACGAGTCTAACCTGGCTACAGCGCTCCCAGTGATGTTAACAGCTATAAATGTAAAAAGAAAGTGATCTGTAAATCTTCATTTTGTATCAGGTATTTGTAGATTGAAAAGATTGAAAAATGGATGTTGCAGGTATGGCATTAATAGATTGTAATGCTTGTAAGAGTTTAGAAATGGATACTGCTTAGCTACCTTTGAAGAGTTGGATGTCTGCCATACGGATGTTAATCATCTCAGGTTATCATCATCAGTACAGTAGTTATAGATCGATCTTTTATATTTACAATAATTATTTTTTAATTACTGTAATTAAATATAATAATAAAGTTTAAGTAAGCAAAACATATTTTTAATTCTGGAGTTGGGTTAAGTAGAATTTAGCCTACTGGAGACCGCAACGGGGGGGTTCATTAGTTTGCAGAAGACTGTAACTTCACATATAGGATGCAGGCTGATTATTTTAGCCATTTTTCAGACAAAAAAGTGCATCTTATATGCCGTAAAATGTGGTAATAATCCTTACTGTACTGTACACTTGCACTATAATTATTTAACGAAAACATGATGTGATGAAGAAACATCATTAACTGAAACCAGATGTGAAAAGAATATGTGTGTGTGTGTGTGTGTTTTGACAATAAACTGAACTTCTTGGATAATTCTGAGAAGAATTAAATCAAGTAACCTAGATTTTGCCAAGGATTTTGCTAGTGTACCCCATGAAAGGCTGAGAATTAAATTGGAAGGGTACGGGATTTGGAGAAGTGTTTTAGTGTGGATCGGAGTCTTTCTTCATACTTGCAAGCAGGGTGTGGTGATTAATGGTATGAAATTGTCATGACAAGCAGGGTACCACAGAGCAGAGTGATGGGCCCGTTTTGTTTGTTTGTTTCATAAATAACATGCCAGAAGCTATACACTCCACACAAATATTTGCAGATGATGCCTAGTTATTCAGAGAAATTAATAACCAAACAGATTGTGAAGAGCTGCTAAGATTCAATGTCACGAATGTAAGAGGATGTACCTAAGTCTTACAAACGGTAAGGAGGCGTGTCGTATGTCCCAATGGAATGAAGAAATGCATTAATAGAGACCAAATGCGAAAAGAACCTGGATGTGCATGTTGACAATGAACTGAAGTTCTTGGGCCATTTTGAGAAGAAGGTGAATCAAGCAACTAAACTATTAGGTCTTATAAGAGGGTTGTTCAGATATCTAGACGGTCTGTCCCTCATAACGATCTTCAAGAGTGAGGTGCTTCCCTGCCTGGAGTACTGTCACCCCATCTGGTCCCCGAGATATGTTAGGGACTGCCAGTTGATTGAAAATGTCCAAAGGATGGCACCAGACTGGTGCCTGCACTTAGACACCTCATCTATCCAGAGATATTGGAGCGCCTGCAATTGCCTAGCTTATGCTACAGATGGGCAAGGGGTGACCTAATTGAGGTGTATAAACATCTCAAAGGGCATTACTCAGTCGAATGTCCATATCTGGAGCTGGCGGACACCCGCCCCACAGGGGGTCACATCTCAAGTTTGAAGAAACAGCAAGTCCAGAAAACTGTGAGGGCAAACTTTTTCGAAGTGAGAGTTGTGAACTCTTGAAACAACCTGCCAGAAAGTGTTGTGATGGCATCGATTGTGAGCTGATTGAAGGCCAGACTTGACCAACACTGGAGCAGGTTCAGATACTTTCAGGAGTCAATGCATGCCCAGTACTGGCCAACAGTGCGTAACAGACGTGACTAACCGCTCAAGCGGCTAACGAGCCGATCAGTGGCAAAGAGGGTAAAAGTAAAGAGTAAAAGTTATGCTTAAATATTTGAGGGAAATTCTGTTGTCTGTACTGTACTTCCGTGTCTGTTAAGTGGGAAGAACATCCTTGATATCTGTGTTTAGTTTTGTTCTGCCTTTTAAAATTTGTCTCTGCAGTAAAAGGTTCTTTAGGCTTCTTGACTCGCTGTCTCTTCTCTCAACACTTTAATGATTGTCACACATTGCAGGCAGTGACACAACATGTGGATGTGGACTTAGATGGTAAAGCTTCAGCTGAATTATGATCAGAGTTTCAGTTCCCCATACCTCTGTAGACAACACATGAATACCTTGATCTGCTGAAGCTTTCATAGAGGACAAATAAATGTTCCTGAACAGCTAAAGTTCTTTATAGCGCCTTGGATGATGATCTGTGTGTTGCGGTCGGGTGTGTTCTTGCTCCACTAGCCGTAAGACCCGATTAAAAAAGATATATAAACATGGCATTCCCTCTCCTCTCCTCCCATAACTACTCAGAAGTTTTATTATTTATCTCTGTCATCTTGAAGAATTATCATATGTAAAGCTGTTAAGGGGTGAAAAGTTTGTGGCCATTCTCACCAGGAAGTGATGTGATGCTAGTCACAGTTGAGGAAGTCTTAGAAATATTCCCAGAATCATATACTTTGTCCAGGTCAATAGAGTGTCATTGTTAGGAAATGTCATAAAACTGAGCTGCTGTGTTGGGTAGTGGGAAATGCTGTGTTGGCTTTAGAGAGATGAATTGAGTGTTGGAATTTCATGGGCTTTTGCTGTGTCGATGATTACTTTTATAACTCATATTCCTACACTTGGTGGAGTTGGGTAGTAAAAAGAAGCATTAATGGAAGGACCAGTAAGCAAAGTCCACCCGACCGTGCACGTTTTCATATTGTAGCTTTTGTTGATATTATTATATGGTCGCTTGCTCTCTCCATAGTCTGCTTACCTCCACCAGAGAAAGTTGTTATTGTCCTCACTAGACAAGACTTGATTATTATTTACAAAGGAATATTTATTGTATTTATGAAATTATACTTTTTTGTTACCTGGACCCAGTAAAAGTATGGATTACCCATACTTTTTGGGGTCAAATTAAATTTATTACTATGTTGTTTTAATTTTTTAGTGGAGAAAATTGTGTTTATTAGTGTTTTGTTGTTTTTGTTACTCGTTCTAAGTTTTAAAAATACAAAAGTTTTTGTTTTGTTTCCCAACAAAATTGTAATTACTAAAACTACCAAATAACTTGATTATGTTAGTTTATTAATATTTTTTGTCATCCAGACTTCAGTTATACTTAACATTGCTTTCTGTTAGTCAGACTAAGTTGTGGTTTACCAATGTTTTCTCTCTTTCTAGTATACTGGGCATGAATCTTTTCGGTTGCAAATTCTGCACACAGAACGAGAACAATTCAACTTCTTGTGACCGCAAGAACTTTGACAGTCTCTTATGGGCCAGCATAACCGTGTTCCAGGTACAGCTTAATTGTTGAGTGTGCTCAGGCTGTGTCTGTCCTCTTCGTCCTTGTGGTGAGGCTGTGTCTGTGCTGTCTGTCTAGTGTGTTACTGTACTGTATTGTACCGTACCAAGGCAGTGTCTGTGCATGCTGTCAACAGATAGCTGAGAGCCCATCATATAAGCAGATTTGTACTTCTATTAGCCATAAGGATTTCTCTGGCACTGGTGGATTGTTGTTGACTATTTTCACATTAATATTATTTAGTAAAGTAAAATTAAAATATGACGGTCACACTCTAGCTGGACAAAGGGATGCTGTTGGTACAAAACAATGTACCTGCCACAGTTTACTTCATCCTTCGCTGTATAAGACGGTGCTTAATTATTAATTGCAATTTATAGCATGATTAGGCCTCTAGAATTTTTTCTGTACAGAATATTGCAGTATCATCTATATTGAATTCTTGCAAAGATTTTCTATTGGTGGGGGAAATGTACATTTTAAGTTGTTAATACCCTGAGGCTTGGATATGATATCTTGTATCTGGCACGAACCACACTTAAGTTTATCATGCCAAAAGGTAGAATCCTGAAGACTAAACACATATGTAAACTAAAGGTTTCTTGTAAAAAAGCTCTTAACTGAAGTGTGGGTTCTTCAACAATTCGTCACAACCAAAGCTAATTCCCACAGATGCAGCAGTGTCCCAGTTGCCTCTTAACCTTATTAACAATATCTGTACAATAGTCAACAACAACTTCAGCTGTTTGTCCACAAATCTTGAGTCTACCACGGGCACACCACTCCTCAATAGATGTTAGTTACGAGAGGCTGATGACCATCACCGTTGTATCTTCAGCCGAAAGGTAAAGAATATTAGTTTGTTTACGACACTCAGCCTCCAGGACACACCGACGAGCAGGTGTACCTCGCTACATCTGTAAAACACTTACACCATACCTACAGGCCAGCAGGTGTGTATCACCACTGCTTAAATGCCTTGCTTGAACAACACAATACTTGCACTGTTTGATCTGTGTGGGGACGCACGCACGAGCATTTTGCTTTATATTATTGATGTCTTGCGAGTATTGTAGTTCTCTTTATTGCAGCTGCATTTTTTTATTGCTCACACTTACTTTTGGTCTACGAGATAATGTAGCTGTAAAAGCTATAGAGGTTATAAAAGTTGATGTTCTGAGAAAAAACAGAGACTAGTGAAATCCATCTTGAAATGTTGACAAGCATCTAGAACTTGGTAGATATTTGTGTCCCACTCATGGTGATGGACATTGAAGTAAATACTGCCTTCAGCAAGTTATATATTTAGCAGTACTTCAGAGCTCTTGTTAAATTGCCAATATGACAGATACAGTGATGAATCCGAAAAATAATAGAAAATATCAATAGTACAGATGAAGTAGTGGGCTGTATCTAATATTTTAATTGAATCATTTATTTGTGTTGGATGGTTTTGTCACATACTGAGGCTGAGCAGACAAACTTGCTGGCACATTTGTGAGTGATATTGCCAGAAGAGCCAGACCCATTGTGAGTAACACCCTCTTAAACATTGGTGAAAAGAATGGCTTTAAATAAAACAGTTAGACAATTTTGTATTGGGTAGTAAGGGAAATTATACTTTTTTGTAACATATTTTTTTCCCAGTGCTGAGAGTTAAATGTTAAATTATGTGCTTAAAGTTAACAAATGTATTAATGTGTATTAAGTTGATTTGTTTTTTAAGGGCCATTGTGATAACATCTTTAGACAAAATGATATCTTTTTTAAATTGTATTATGTGCATTAATTTTGTGAGTTTAAATTTTCTAGGAAAATTAACTCAAGATCTTTTAAAGTTACCTCATCAGTATACTGTATTTGTGTCTTGGCATCTTCCATTTTCAGTGTGGACTTGAAATTGATTCTGTATGTTTCTCAGTGTCCAGATCTTCAGCAATAATTGTCTCTCTCATAATATTGCCTCAACCTCGTAGTGTTCTAATCCCATCTCAGGTAATTAAAAAAGATTGCAGGAATTTAATTCATAAAGCTAGTATGTAAATTATCTTTGGGTACAACTGCTGGTAGGCAAGCTTCTGGTACTGTGGCATAGGCTTTTGCTATTCTAGATTTGCATAGACTTGTAATTTAACCCATAGCCTACCAGGCTTTGTCCTGTTTCTCCTTCCATTCAGCATGGTTGGGTTGTGAAATAAGTCCATTTACAGTAAGTTTATGATCTCTTCTTATTTAGTGTGAGGTCAGTGAACACACCTTCATGTAATTTTTTGTTTTCTTTTTGATGATTATAAAGAGACATCCCTAACTATTTTAACTTCAACTTGGAGATATTTTGCAAAAGTACAGTGACATTTCATTATAGGAATTTTCTGTATTGTACCAATATTATGTACTGAGTTGATAAATGCTAAAGAAGATGTACTTTGCTTAGATCATTAACTGTCTGTGTATACAGCAAAGAAAAATTAAATGGCTATTCTAGCCAGTATTTAGTATACTTAGAGATATATCTTGGAAGTCATTGTTAGTTTATGTATAAATGTAGACCTGAATATTTTAATGCCCTTGATGTTGTAAGACCTGTATCATATGAGGGTCATAGGTATACAGTACACATTTTATTTGTCATTGTATACAGAAATGGGTTTGATTCCAATTTTAGGATTATCTTCATGTCTGGGAGAGAAAGTAGCTGAGATGTATCAAAGATAAACAAATACTTATATTAATGTGATTATTAGTTTGCATCTTGTAACTCATGTTCCCACAGGTTTGGAAGCGTACAATATATTCACCACTTTGTCCATGCATCTGTATTCACATTTGTCTGTCCTGCATTTTGTGTCCATATCTTCTCAGCCTCAGCAAGAACTTCAGTACAACTTTACATAAAAGTTTGTCTTAATAAGGCAATCTGTTTTGTTCTACACTGAATTCAGAACGATGTCTTGAATTTAATTAACATTTACAATTACAGTATTCCTTCAGTCCTTCTTGAATGTATCAATCTGTCTCACTGACCTCTTGTAACTGAATTAATTACAATAGTTATAAAGCAGAACATTACACATTATTATGAAAGTTATGCACCTTGAAGTGACTTTACCTTGCATCAGATATTTTGGGAATATCTTTTCTTCTTATCACTGGACAATGAAGTAATATCCAACAGACCAACCATTTAAATGGAATAATAAGATGATAAATGGTGAAATGATAGATTAATTAATGTTCAACTGATTATTTTCTATATTTATCCAGTAGTTTTCACTGTTCACTACAATTTTATTACATTCCTGCATTATAACTTCATATCTTTCCTTTCTACAAAATAAATAATTGGTTACTGTAGAAAACAAGAGGTTGGTGATATTGACAGATGCATTATTCTAACAGTTAATGTTCGGTGCATCATCATATAAAGTTGCACATATGTGTTAAGTGTCATAGGAATTACTTCAATGGTTAAAAAGTTATGGACTAGATAAGGAATGCGAGACAGAGTGAAAGATGTCAAAGAAACGGCTTTATACAGTACTATACTTCCCGATTTTGGGGTGTATAATAAGGTGTGCTGTATATATACAGTACAAATGCCATATTAGACAAAACTACAAATGTAAAACCATTACTCATAAAAGTTTAATTTATGATAAACATTGATAAGGTTTATTGTACAGTAGTTACAGTTTTATAAGTGTTTGTATTATGCATTTTGGGTATAGAGATATACTGTATAACATTTTAATACCTCTTAACATAAATATCACATAATATTTGCTTACCATACCATGCTGAAAAGGATATTTCCACCTTAGCTTTTTCTGTAGTTATTTCATCTCTGCTGCAAGTGTCAGACAGGTAGATATGGGTCAGACCTTCCAGAGATAATATATGTGGAATAACTCGTCACGTCCCGAGCAAGAGAGGCAGGTGTAAGAGGTGAAGATGGTTAATGCCTGGCTAAGCTCTTGTAGGTAATCAAGTGTCAGCCAGTCATTACCCTTCGTCATGTATTTTTGCACCTGCCAGCCAGTACTATAACTAGTAAACTCCCACATAAAATTCCCCAATAGAGTAAACCAGTAGCTGTGCTGTGCTGAAGCTGTTTCCTGCTGGTGCAATAGTGGGTTACTACTGTAGTTTGGTTGTAGGTTTATTGTAGTGAATGGTGTGCCCCCTGTAGTGCAAGATGTGGCTCTGCCTGTTAAAACTGGGGTACACTACACATTATACAAGCTACATTTTCAATGAAAGTTACTTAGTTTGCCTAGAATTGCGTACAAGTAGTTTCCCTAGGTAGGATAAGTATGGATTGTACATGGCCTCCTCTATATGAAATCTATTTCTGTGTATATTTTTCTCACCTGTTAACTGACTAACACTGAAGGAATGTGACTGTCCACCGTGGATAATGATGTTTTCTTTCTTAGTAACCAAAATAAGTCCCCTTCTGTCAGCTTAGCATAATGCTGTATATATTAACAATTTCAACAATTAACCAAGAGCTTGATGCTGAATAACCCAAGTGTCTAACAAGCTGTTTTATATACAAAATCAAAGTCCTTCTCTTCAGTGTTCTGGTCAGATTATCTGTTAGAAAACCCTAATTGGAATCCCTGCCCTTGACCTAACCGGAGGTGCTTAGTAACTTAAGGTTGTTCCCTCTGACCCTTGATCCACATGGTGACCCAGCCTGACAGCCATCATGGTCATCATACTTGACCTTCATTTGATCCACCTCAGTAATGACTCTATATAATCTATTGATAATGCAGTGTACCTCTGCCACAACCTCTCTTGAGTAACACACCTGTCGTGGTAATGTTAATGTCAACAACTTTAGCAGCAGCTGTTTGGTTTACAATTCTCACTTACAACTCCAGTTTTTTGTGTGAAGTTGTGAGAGTCAGACATTCTCACTAGGGGCATGTTAAATATACAGGATAGATGATTCATGCTTAATTCACTAGAAATAATTTTATGTCTTTACAAGTGTCAGTTGATGGTGTTTGTCATATTTAATGAAATCTAAACTAGATACGGGCAGTCCCCGACTTACGACAGAGACACATTCCTGAACCCTGATCGTAAGTCGATTTGTTCATACGTCAGAACAGTGTTATTTCCATAGTTTGGGTTAAGTTAAAGCACAACCCTGCCCATACAAAATAACAATAATATCCCATACATAGCAAATAATGTAGTTACTGTAAGTAAAGTGATGTTAAACAATATTAAATGATGAATATAATGTAAAAGATGGGATTTTAATTACAAAATTTTGCAATGAATGTATTGGGATCCCATTCATAAGTGTGGATGATCATAAGTCGTACAGTCGTAACTCGGGAATTGCCTGTAGTTGAATATTGAGCAACCAATAAAATGCAGTCTTAATCATTGGCTGCAAAGTTACTGTATGTACTATATACGGTAACAGCTTCTTGTATAATACATGTTCTTCACGAATTCTAGACCACATATGTTTCAAGTTGATATATTACTGAGAACATCATATTAGATGTACAGTACAGTACAAATAGTATAAACTTTATCTTCTCTCTGAGCCATTTTTAGTTTTTGCTCATAAATTATCTGCTGTATGTGATGTTGAATTAAATTCCCTGCATATACTATATCCTGTACAGTAAATGTAAATTGAAAAAGGTATTTTAGAGAATAATGAGCACATACTGTACTTTACTGTATTAGTAATTAACTTATTAATTTTGTTCTTTCACAAAGGTTCTTTAAGTGAATGACAAGCATTATTCACCTGAAACTTACTGTTATAAAGATAGAACTTAGCTGACAAAACTTGTCACACACAATAGACTACAGTATTTAGAAGTAAATCTTTATTTGTAGATGTTGATGAAGTTTGGTGATGAAGAGCTTCATTTTTTATGGCAGTGACATTTGGCATTCACAAGGATGTCATATCTTGTGAAAAGGCAGAACTATTATTGTGGATGAACAAATAATATAACAATAATAGAAAATGAACCAGATATAAAAACACATTATCACTCTCTCACTTGTTTACTTTGATATAATGCTTATACAGTATTAAGGTAATATACTTGATGTGAAATTTCCAAAAGGTAACAGTAGTACTTAACATGTACAGTAGTGGAAAATGTGGAGTTTATTTGAACTTCACATAAGTGAAGCTTTTGCTACTTATTGCCACAAAGATACAATCATACACTGTGATGATAAAATCACTTCACAGTTTAGAGTTGTTGGATTAGAGGAAAAAAAAAGTAACAGATAGCATGTAGATACTGTACAGTAATACAGTTTCATACCAGGAAAATGTTGTAGAGTTAGTGGCACATGGCAGATCAATAAGTGGCACTGCAGTGTGAAAAAAGCCCATGAAGAGAAAAGGAAATTCTTTTGTACCTCACTTTATAAGCCACCAGTAACAACCATCATCATTTGCCAAACAGTTGCAAAACATAAAAAAGCATATACTTGTATTGGAGAACCTAAGCCACAATTTCATTACATTGTTAACCAAGCAAAGCTGAAGCTGTCTTGTTTGGTTGCCAAGACTCCTTTATCTTTGGATGCATATTATTTATCTACCTGTATCTTGGTCTACTTTGTGTGTGTGTGTGTGTGTACGTGTGTGTGTGTACGTACGTGCGTGTGTGTGTGTGTACGTGTGTGTGTGTGTACGTACGTGCGTGTGTGCATGTGTGCACGTGTGTGTGTGTGTGTGTGTGTGTGTGTGTGTGCACGCCTAACCCAGGTACCACAAAAAGTGAAACCCTGGGTCATTAATGTGCATAGTTTGCTTGACTTACCTGTGTGTGTGTGTGTGTCCTTTGAATCACTTACCTGAGTGTGGTCACCTGAGTCACTTACCTGAGTGTGGTCACCTGAGTCACTTGCCCGAGTGTGGTCACCTGAGTCACTTGCCCGAGTGTGGTTTCCCGAGTCACTTGCTGGAGTATGGTTACTTAAGTCACTTGTCCAAGTGTGGTCACTTGAGTCACTTGCCCAAGTGTGGTCATCTGAGTCACTTGCTGAGTATAGTAACTTGAGTCACTTGCCTGATGTGGTCACTTGAGTCACTTGCCTGATATGGTCACTTTAGTCACATGTCCAAGTGTGGTCACCTGAGTCACTTGCTTGAGTCACTTGCCTGATGTTGGATCACCTCTGTATTGTGTGCAGGTCAGGCCGGGTCACCATCCTGACCTACTCACCTTGTGTCCAGCATTGTCCATGACCGTTGTTACTTTTCAGTGTGCTAGGCATGTTTCTGTTTGGTGGAAAGTTTTGCATTAGAGCGGATGGCAGTGGCGATTGTACGTGCCGGGAGATCCTCGACCCCGAGTCTGGGTGTCTTTGTACAAGAATGCACTTTAACAACTTCCTGTGGGCCACCGTGACGGTGTTTCAGGTGAGTCTCTTGTGCTGCTTGTGTGATGGCCGGTCTGCTACACCACAATATTTATTATCTTAACCATTTTATATGTCTTCAGGTTAATCTTCCTGGATTAAAGTAGTTAATATAAGTGACAAATATTTGTCTTTATATACAGTATTGGTAAAGAGAACTTCTCTTTATATTGCAGTATACCAGTGTTAGTAGTAATGTACAGTACCAGTGTTTGAGAGATACAAGACACTGTTAGCATTCTTTGGTACAGTCAGTGGCAGCTCTTCTGGGTGCTGCAGTACAGTAAAATGTTTTTGTGTGTATAACTGTGTTAAACACCTCACTAGTCTGTCTCTGCCTGTCACCTCTGTCAAAAGTGATTAAGAAATAGATAATTTTTTTTATTAAGCATTAGTGATTATATTTTCCTCAGCAGATTACTAATTGCGATATGCAATTTATTTGATTAAGCAGCAGTTACAGTATTTTCAGTTACTGTATTACCCTCTCAATTTTGCTGAACCACAACTATTATAATTGCAGGTCATGATATCTGTCTTGTTGGTTTTGAATAAGTCAATTGTAGTTTGCCCGCACACCTTGTGAATTAATTTTAATTATTGGTATTTTCCTCCCGCACCACCCCAACTATATCCCACATGACATGATTCCTAAAACCCGCCTCATGTCCCCAACCAACACACTCCCCTCGACACTACTCCTTACCGTTTTAATTTTTGTTACCCGTTTTACCACCACCACTCCTCCCACTGCCACCACCTCCACTTCTCTCACCACTACCACTCCTACTACCACCACCATCCTACTACTACCACCACTCCTACCACCACTACCACCACCATCCTACTACTACCACCACTACCACCACCATCCTACTACTACCACCACCTCCACTCCTCTCCTCTCAACACCACCACTACCACTCCTACTACTACCATCACCACCACCACTACCCTCTTACAACTACTACCACCTCCACTCCTCTCAACACCACCACTACTACTCCTACTATTACTACCACCACCACCACCACAGATCCTAACACAGGAGGACTGGAATGTGGTGCTTTTCAATGGGATGGAGAAGACGAGCCACTGGGCATCACTCTACTTTGTGGCTCTCATGACCTTCGGCAACTACGTGCTCTTCAACTTGTTGGTTGCCATCTTGGTCGAGGGCTTCTCTGCCGAGGTAAGCAACAACCCATAACTATTTGTTCCTGGCTAGGCAGTCATTGTAGCTATTTTTAAAGCAACTTTACTATATATTAATGGACAACATTCTGGATTGTATTCGGCTCTATTACTAATTTTTCAATCTGTGTCGCATCAACAAATGCAACCGCATGGGAAATGCTTGTCAACTTTGGAATTAATCATTAATGTATTGTGCACTTCATGAATACAGTTTAAGCTCTTAAGGTGTAGGCTACCAGGTGAAAGTCTGAGCAATTCTGTGTACTCAGTGTTTGACAGCAATGTTGGAAACTAAGGAAACTCCTGCTGCTTAACCTTGTTTGTAAGGTGTAACTGTACATTGTAGTTGAAAGATTAATTCTTGTACAGTAGAAGACACTGAATGTGTGAATTCTTATATTTCACAGTTCTGGAGAAGATTTCTTTATTTTATTAGGGGCTAAATCTTGCCTAAAATTCTTAAAATAAAGCCACTTTAATTTTAAACAATGGAGCCCTCACATCCAATATGTTTTAGAATATAGAGCACTGTATCTGTCTCAACCTTGCTCAAGAAAAGATAAGAGTACAGTAGTAACATAAGTTCTGATTTAATAAAACTCTTGACATGAGGGTAAAAATTGTCATACACAACTCGGAACATTATATTTACTGATACGTTGTTTCCAGAACTTACAATAAAATGCATCATATGAAAGAACAAATCTCATCTTTTTTATTCTCTGTTCTATTTTATGCCTCGTTTAGTAAGCGCATTCAGATGTGAATTAAAGAAGTAGGATATAGGAAAGGAGAGACTGGTGAAACAAAGGGGTAATAATGGGTTAGTAGTCTGGAAGGTAAGTGTGTATAGACTAAATAGAAGAGTGAATACAAAATCTGAGATGTTGAAGTACTGAGAGGAATGGGTAGAAAGGAATAGGGAAATGAGGGGAGACTGAAAAAGAAAATGTCTGTGGAAAATGAGAGTTAATGATTGGTAGTGTGAAGGGAAGGTGACAGGTCTCCAGAGAAAGAGGTAAGGAGAGGATGAGGATTATACAGACATGGGAGGGAGGAAGGCTGTCATACCCTTGGATGTTGCTTGTAACACTGTGTTGCCTTATAATGGCAAAGTTTCACCTCTATTCTAGTGAGACAACACCTGTATTTATTATTCCTTGAAGCTTTAACCTTTAGATTAGTACAGTATAAATTTACGGAGTGATTTAGACTATGATGAATTTCTGGGTATAACAAAGTCCAATATGAGCTCTGAGGAAGGTGTATACAGGTGAAGAGAATGATCTTGCTAACATGGAAGACTGTGTTACTCTGGCCACAGTTCACCTTCAGGTTTTCATCACCAGCACAAGATTATACAGTAGTGATGTCTTCATCTATTAAGTGTTTATATATATACAGTACAGTACAGTACAGTCAACCCTCACTTTACGCGGTTAATATAACCCACAGGGTACCGCGGAAAGTGAGAAACGCGGAAAGTGAACAACATAACATATGGGATTAATTGAAATAGAGACCGGGCCGACCCCCAAACTCCACTTTTTGACGACACACAACTATGTTGTAGTAAAAATTTTATCTTAACTTTATGATGGTATGCACAAACAAGTAATATAGAAGAGGTTAGGTTAGGAAAAATAAAGGTTAAGTTAAGAAATATAAAGGTCAGGTTAGGAAAACTAAAAGTTAGGTTGAACACTTACGTTAGTAGAAGAGATGGGTTGGCATACGGGGATGGAGGCTGGTTCCGAGGCAGAGGGCAGGCTACTGGCCCTCAGGTGAGTCACCATCACTGTCATCCACACTTACCAGGGCCTCCCTGACAAATCCCTTAAAGTCATCTTCACTGTCTCTACCTCTGTCACCATCACTGGCTTGGGCTGGCTGTGGTGGGTTGCGGGCGAAGAACTCTGTTATGCTTTGCTGACGGCTGGTGTTTATGTTGTCGTGATAAACCTTGAAGTAGGGCTCCATAGTCTGCAACAGCTGGATAGTGAAGATTTCATACCTGTTTGCGTCATGGTCGTCGGAAAGGAGGAGCTTGATTTTCTCGACACACTCGATGGCACCCCTAACATTACTATGGGATAAGCGGTGTTCTTCTTGGGATGATGCACCACCTGCCTCTTCACTGACGTCATCATCATCTACCATCTCGTCGGTAGTCACATCAGGATCCCTTATCACCTCCAGGATGTCGTCGTTGGTGGTCTCGGAGAAGCCTGCAGCTGTAACACTCTGCGCAGCTTCTCTGGCAAGGTCCACTGCTACTGCAACAGTCTGAACTTCACCAGTCACAGATTGACTCTGCCTTACGCCCGGAATGCCTTGCAACACATGTCTCCATGCGTGACGAACAGTTGCTACAGACAGCTGATCCCATGCCTCCACCAAGAAGTCCACAGCTTTCTTGATGTTAAATATTCTCCAGAATTGTTTGAAAGTATTTTTTGCTCTGCCAACTGTTGATCCTCGTCTTCTTCGCTCTTGCTATCGGTGGTGGTGTCACTCAGGTTACGCAACTCTTCCCTGGTGTTGGTGTTGGTGTAGTCGTTCAGGAGCTGGAATTTTTTTGTTGAGAATGCAGCTTTTACATTACAGATTAACTCTTGGTCCATGGGCTGTAATATAGACGTAGTGTTGGGAGGAAGGAAGACCACTTTTACGTTGGGGTGACGATCTAACAGTAGGGGCGAGTGTCCTGGTGCGTTGTCCAGCAGCAACAAAATCTTGAATGGCACATTCTGTTGCTCACAGAATTTCTTTACATCGGGAACGAAACAGTCATCAAACCAGGAGAGGGACAGTGTAGAGAACATCCACGCCTTACGTGCGGTCAGCCAGTGGACATTTAGCTTGGTCATGTCCATGCTCTTGTAGGCGTGCGGCTTGCGGGCTGTGTGGATCACCGATAACTTGAGCTTACAGGTACCGGAGGCATTGGTGGTAAACAGGACGGTGATGCGCTCCTTCTGCATCTTCCGGCCCCGAATCTTGCTGGCATTCTTCACAATGAAGGTCTTGGAAGGTAACTTTTTCCAAAAAAGACCAGATTCGTCCATGTTAAACACCTGGTCGTCGGTTTACTGTCCTTCATCCATAATCTCACGTAAAAACGGAGGAAATTCCCTAGCCGCAGCACGGTCAGTACTAGCCTCTTCACCACCAATGTTTATATTGGTGATCTTGTTCCGCATCTTAAACCTCTGTAACCACCCAGAAGAAGCATTAAAGGGTTTGGGCTCTGTAATTCCCATCTTTCGTGACACTGCAGCATACAGTTCACGTGAGTACTCCTTAACAGAGTGCGTGTCGACCGCCATGTTCCGTCGCGCCTGACGCACCAAGTAGCTCACAAGTAATTTTTCCGTCTTGAGAAGCACCTGGTTGTGAAAATACTTGATCATAGAAGCACCTGTAGACTTTGTGATCTTCATGTGCTCCTTTATCTTAGCTGCATCCTTCTTTATCGTCCGGATCGTAGATTCGTTCACACCATGCTGGTGCGCCAAATCAACCTGTCTTGTTCCTTTCTCTAACTCTTGGATGATCTTGTACTTCACCTCGTAGCTTAAGGAACGTCGTGTCTTCTTGGGCTAAGGGCGGCTGGGTCCAGGCAAGGAAAGGTTTCTCTCTCGGGGCGGTGGTCCGGCGGAAGCCATTTTACAGAACAATGGATGCACGATTACACGGTGTGGCCTGGAGGGATGAAACTGCCGCGGCTAGGTCAAGCATCGTCTTTCCTCCCTCC